GGAGGAAAATTAAAAGCAAAAATCTGATGATCCTGCAGTTTGCAAAGAGGAGCCTGCAAACACCCCCCTCTCTCACACACTCACTCACTCACTCTACTTGTGGCTTCATATTAATCAACAGCCAACATGACAAATACCTCTTGTGTGCACATTATTCCCATTCCGCTCTGTGTGCCTCCACGCCAGAAAGAAAAGACTAACTCTCCCAGCCCGGCCTTATTGCAGCTCGCCCCGAGCCCTAATGGGAAGTAATAAAGGTGTGTGTGTGTGTGTGTGTGTGTGTGTGTGTGTGTGCGAGATAGGGGGAGATGAATGGTTCTGATTAGGCAGTGCAAGCTGCGGACAAGCCTGATGATCAATGTCTCTTCTTTTCTGCTGCTTAAAAACAGATGAATGTGCCATTGCTACACACACACACACACACACACACACACACACTAACTGCACACAGTTGATGAAATAACCTAACATGCATGTGTGTGTGTCTGCAACTTTTAATACTTTTTGGTCCTTCAAAGATTGATGGTGTGTTTGCATCATTTCACCGCTTCCATATGTATGTATGCACACACACACACACACAGAGCTGCCGACCTTATATGTACAATGCATACGTGTGTGTGTTGCTGTCAGTTTAAATAATTGCAAATGGGAAATGCTCTGAAATTGGTTACGCCACGGTATGAAAGTGTAAATTGAAGCACTCGTGTGTCTGCAGAGCACTGCGGAACGGAAGTGCTGACTCGGCAACAGCAGAGATGGGTGGGGAGGGGGGGACCTGGACAGTTGAAAACAAGAAAGAGAGAAACGAACGGATGCAGAGCGGAAACGGAAAGATGGCTTGAAGGAGGACTCGATGGGGGGAAGGGAATGAGAGAAAAGGGATAGAGGGGGAGTAAATGGCAGAGGTCTGGGGATTGGACGGATAAAAATCAATTGAGATGGAATGAGGGAGGCAGATGAAAGGGAGGAGCAGTGCGGAGAGTCGGCAGCAGGTCCCTTTGGCTCTCGGTTCACCGGGCTTTCATCCAGGAAATGAAACGACTTACCTCTCCCCCGTGTGATCGGGCTAAAAACACACACACACACTTGCGTTGATGGACTCTCACTGTCATCATCAGTGCCACCATCTGCCTTCCTTGACTGTGTGTGTGTGTGTGTGTGTGTGTGTGTGTGTGTGTGTGTGTGTGT